CAGACTCACGATTGATTGGCGTATGGTAATTCTTGCACTTTAAGGAATCCGGCCTCTGCTCTGTCTTCTACGCTTTCCTGCCTATATAATTCCTTGACATCATCTCTTTCATCTGTGTGTGTGTGTGTGTGTCACCGGTGACTCTATGGTCAGCTAATAAACTGGCCCCTCAAGCCGACCTGGTGGGATTCCCAGCCGGCCCGGCTGCCTGAGTTCACACCTTTTTGTTCACAGGAATCTCAGGAATCCCCAGCTTCCTTTCCACCGCAGTCTCCATTGTGTGTGTGTGCGCGTGGGTGTGACAACATGAAGGAAAGGCCCCCGCCTGTGTCGTGCGTGTGTGTTGAAACACATCTCCGCCCTGGTATCCACCCAGAGAATGCAAGCACGCAGTGTTCGAGCCTTTTGCCCACAATAGACTGAGTCACAGACTAAAACTGGTCCACTCCTTAGTTTCTGAGCAAATTCACTTTTTAGGGACCAACATAGCGATGCTCACCGATTCGTATCAAAGTGAGGTCGATGGGTCATATGAGCATTGTGCTCCAAATTTTTGAAAATGTCACATGCGAAGGAAACGCAAAGTTGCATTTTCTTCAAACTACTGTATGGTGTAAATGCTGAAATATCTGAAAAATGAGGATAATTTAAGTTAGAGGTGGGTGCTGTGGTGGCGCAGGGGGCAAAGCACAACCCAGGTATGGAGGCCTTAGTCCTCGCAGGTCACAGGTTCGATTCCCAGCCTGACGGATATTTGCTGCACAACTCCTGTCGAAAATTCTTTCAAATAAAGGCCACTAGAGCCAACAAAACTTTTAAAAAAAGTTTGACCTCTGGTTATATGTAAGATTATTTTAACATTACAGGTTAAAATGAATGACTAACTTTTTAAAAAAGTTTTTAGTAGTGACATCACAGATATTGAGTGACGTTTCCTATGATGTCAGTCATCTAACTTCTGAAGGTTATGTAAACAAATAATCCAAATTAACATTTTCAAAATTATTACTTCATACAAAAAAATGTAGTTTGGTGTGTTACCATGTTGATTTCGTAAAATTTGTAATTGTGTAATTACTTATTTCTGCATAAATACCATCAGCTGAAAATTACTAAGTTGAATTTGTCTATATTTTATCACTAACGTCAACAATATTAGTTTAATATCACATCATTAAATCAATAGCGTTCACTTAAAGTTGAAGTTCTTCAAATCTATTCAGATACATTAATGATTTTTTTAAGTGGATAATTGTCACTTTTCTGAATGTATGACAGTGCAAAACTATCACCCTGTCAACGCTTGTATATATTTGTAATTAAATACAGAAGAGATATAGTTACAAATAATTAAAACACAACTAGTGACTAAAAAGCTGTGATTATAGGATACACTTCTGTACTGGATTTTGTACGTCTGACCCTGGAGGAATGTCTCACCAGTCAGGAATCTCACCGCACGTCGCTGCTGCGAAGTCATACTTCACTTTAACAAGAAACATTGTGGTGTTTCAATATCCCAGGATCTCGTTACACCCTTATTAAATACCTAAAACTGCAGTTGAATAGACATAAAAAGGGCATAAATGCAATTAAACTTTACGGCTTCTTTGAGGGCTAATGGCCTCCGCGTACGCGGCGCCCGTTCAGCCTCTGCGCCGCGCGCCGCCCTGTCGTCTAAATGTTTTTCACTCAAATGGCCACCGAGTTGTGATGCGCTCAGCTCACGCCGTTCCAAACGCTCTCAGCTGCTGCAGTTTTCTCTCCCTCCAGTTGTTGCTGCGCCTGTAGCATTAAAGGGATGAACGAAGTGCTAATCACGAATGGCTAAGCTAACCGCTCACTTAAGCTAGCCCAAGAACTTTTCCCGAGAACAGGCGATGCTTTTCTTAAACATTTCTTAACGATCGCATCAAAACATGGCAGCAACTGTAATGCAACGTTCATAGGTTTTCAACTCCTATTTGCAGCTTTTTAAATAGTTTTCATGCTAGCTGCTAAAAGCTTACCGGTGTAGAAAGCGTCGTAGTTAGAAAGGAAAGGCTGATCCAGTCCCTGCAGAAATATAACGTGATTGTTTCGGTTCAGAGGAATTCAGCACAAGAAATCTTAAATTCATGTGTCGCAGATTAACCGCCGCAACAAGTTTTAAAGGGTCTGTAGTTATCTGAAGACTTTTTATTTTTTTTAGAAATGTGACTGAAGCTCAACCGGTTTCTGCTAGCTGAGTTATAATTTCAGCACTGAAGTGTTGCTGTCCGTCAGCATGTCTGGAGTCACTTAGGCTCTGATTCATCAAGAATGCTTAGTGCTTGACTTTATAACCATTCATTTTCTGTGAATCACTCAGACCAGCTCACTCTCTCTCCAGACAGAACAAATCCACATCCATCTGTCGATACATCTGACGGCGAACGCCGCCTAGGACCACAGTCTACGGTCGTTACAGTGTTGAAAAGCTCAAATTGGGTCTTAGCATTATCAAGGTCTGGATACATCAGGGGGGAAAAACCAATGCGGACAAAGAATTTCCAAACTGCACATCTTTTTTTCCAAAATCTTAAAGATAAATGTCGGACTTTGTGAAACATGAACTCCTTGATTTATTCATAGATGATGTTCCTTCTCTTTGATAAACTTTTAATCTGACTCGTTAATCGTTTTGGGTTTGGAGTCACTGAATGAAAAATCAGAAAAGGGAATCGCTCATCTTAAGTCAGGATGTTCAACTGGACCTGCTAGTTCTGGTTAAGATGTGAAAAGGTCTCCCAGGTGTCAGCACTCTGTGCTTTTAATATCTGTAAGGAAAATTAAGATATCAAAGCTTACAAACGGCATTTCATGTAGAACAATCCCACCCATATTTGACTTAAATTTTAAAACAGATTAATTAAATTTCCTCTTTCGTGTGTCAAAATCAACATTTGTTCAATGGTTTGGCAAATACACAGATAAAAAAACTCAGTTAAATAATTTGTACTCAAGTGTTCAGAATGTTAAACTCTAGGTATTTATAAAGTTTGTAATTGAATTTGTTTTATGAGCTAGACTTATTTTATTGTCATCATTGATGTAAAAAAGGAAAAACAGCATCAACAAACCACTGTAGTTAAGATCAGTTTAGAGGTCATAATAGTAGACAAATGTCGTCTACATAGAGTTTCATCTCAATCTTTTTTTTTTTGTACACTGAATAACAAAATTGTGAACTTCTCAGTTTGGCTTGTTGCCTCATTCTGGGTTAATAAGATCACTGTGTTTCCTAACGTTCTCCCCTCTGGGCATTTATCCCCATTTAGCTCCTCAGATGAGACCTAATGGTCTATCTTGATTGAAGACTTAAGAAAGCATTTGGTGTTCGGTCGCATTATTTTTAGAGAACCTTTGACCCTAATGATTGCCCTCAGGAGTGACAATGCAGAATAGCAACATGTGTATATAGGTCAAATATTGCTCAATTCCACTTGCTACATGACTCACAGAAGTTTTTTAAATAGATCCGAACGGAGCCTGACAAAGGCCGGAATCTCTCTCCACTAAAACGCTGGTGTGTAACTTTGTGTTTGCCCACCACAGTGTGTGTAATGGGAGCGTAACAGGGGCGCAGCGTGTCCTTTGGTGAGTCACATGGCCTCTTGTGAGTAACAAATCAGTTATGCGATTCCTTAAGTTCAAGCCTGCCATTGAACGCTGCTGCCCTGCCCTAGTTTTGCGTCCCGCGCCAGCAGGGAGGAGGGTGTAAAACGGCGGGGCAGGGTGGGACCGCCACCCGCGGGTGTGGCTGGCGAACATGGCATGGGGGAATAGAATCGGGGCGAAAAGGCAGGATGTAGGTAAGAACCTGGATTGCGGTCGTGGGTGAACTGAGGACCGGGGGGGCGGGAGGGGTAAGTTAAGGTCGCTGCAAAGAGTCAAGAGGAACTGCTTGAATTCTTAGGTACTTTCTTTGAAAAAACCTGTGGTTTTAATAAGGTTCCTCACTTGCTTATGAGGCAGTCCATTCTTGACAACCTGGGTATCGACGAAGGAACCCAGACGTGATGCACATAAGAGCGTTTGTTTATGTTGCTGAGTCTGGAAGTCATATAGACCCTTCTGCCTCCCTCTTCTAAAGATTGGTCAACTCCTTGTAAAGATGCCCCAGACTTCTAGCAGGAGGAGTTTCCTTTTTTCTTTTAAGACACAAGGCATGCACACCCATGCACATTTACTCCACCTCCCTCTGCCCCCCCTCCTCCTTCCTCTTACTGTCGTTTTTTCTGAATGGTCCTGTCCTCTTCCTAACCTCAACCGAGTGCTCTGTAAGGAGAGACTGCCCTCCGCGTTAGGCTCAGCCCTCCTCCCCCCAACGGCGCAGCTATAAGAGAGAGCGCTGTCGGACTTGTGTGTGTGAGAGCTGGACGGTGTCAGTCAGTCAGACAGTACTTTTCATTTGGTTGCACGGGTGGGAGGGTTTATGGGAGGGAGGGTGAGAGGAAGAGAAAGGGAGAGCACTGTGAAACATGTGATAGTGCAACTCTGGCCGGGGCTTGTAGGGAGTTTAACGGCTGTGGTGTCTCCAGAGCTCTGGGAAAGCACCTTTAGCCCAGAGGGAGCCTCGCAAACTGTGAGAAAAAGTGTGTGCGCAAGACGGAGAGAGAGAGAGAGGGAGGGAGATAGAAAGTGAGAGCCGGTTATGCAGCGGACTGCCGCTGTCACTTTAAGTCTGTTACTGATTACACTCAGAAGAATGCAAGCGGGAGGAGGAAATGACAGGAAAAAAAGAAAGTGGATGAAATCTTTCAGGGAGTTACGAGTGAAGTTTCGTGCAACTTGCCGTCACAGTTACAGACAGTGACGTGGGTGAGAAGTTGTTACCCAATAGTGGGTCTCTCTCTCGCTCGCTCTCCTTCGTCTCTGTGTGTGCTGGAGGCAAGCAGGGTTAAAGACGCAAGGATCCCTTCAGGAAGAGCGAAGAACACCCAGAGACACCGAGATTGGAGGGAGGATGAGGAGCTGGGGGGCATTTGAGGGGGGTTCCCTCATTCCAAAGTCAGCACCAGGAGGAAACTCCCACCCAGACGGTAAGTGAAAAAAGGAGGGGGGAAAAAAGCAAAAGATGTCCAGAAAAAAAAAGAGCTGCTGCTGCTGATGGGTATCATATGTTGGATGTTAAGGTTTGAGAAACGGTTCCCAGACCCTTCATAGGCTGAGAGAAAGAGCAGGAGGCTGTGGCGGACAGTGCTGGGTGAAGTAGAGGAAATGCCTGAATGAGCTTTTGAATTGTGTGTGACCAGTTTTCGTTTTTTAAAACGCCTGTGTGTGTGAGATCAGTTCGAGCTTGGTCCTGAAGTCCAAACCGGTCATTTGGGCCACATTGCGATCGCATTAGGGAAGCGTGAATCATAGCTACATGGTTCATTCTTCTGCCTCTTCCTCGGAGTCCGAAGGAAGCGGCGTTTGGTATGCAGTAGTCTCATTTATCAGTGCCTGATGCTAAGTGATTAGCTGTTAATAAGTTATTTTCTTCATGCTGAGGCTCTACTTCCTCTGACTGCCTTTCGGTTCTCCCCCACCCCCCTTTTCCTTTGACACAGATAGCACTGTCCAGTCCGTCTGCTCAGCAGCAGCAGACAGCATGAATGAACTGAGCACGCAGGTGGGTGGGGATACTATGTCACAGTGTGGACGCTGCTGTTTAACTTCTTTATGAATGGACACTGCGGGCGGCTGATGTGATTGGTTGAGCCTGACGTTACAACCGGTGAGCCAGGATTCAGGGTTTAGACGAGTCTCCGCTGTCTCTCTGACTCTAAAAAACCCCTCTGTCTTTGGGTAGTAGTGTGGGAATGTGTCTTTAAGGAGTTGTGTGAATCAGAGCCAGTGGTTCCGAATGACATGTTTTCCTGAGATGGGCTGAGTCACAAGTCGAGCAGTGGTTCTTGTGTGTTGGTCTCTCATGCGTCTTCCCAGCTGTTGTCCTTCAGATTATCTCCCACTCTTTCTGACTAAGACTTTTGATGTATCAGTGTGTGTTTTTTCATGTGTGTGTGTGTGTGTGTGTGTGCGTGTCTGTGGTCATAAATCAACCAGGCCCTCCAAAAACCACGTGAGCCGCTGCCAACAGCCCAGCCTACGGCCACACATGCATGCACACCCTGCGCCTTTTTCACTGCAGTTCAATGTGACAGCCCCTCCTCGTGCTCCGACAAGACATGTCCGCAGTCTTGTTTTGCCCCTAATCTCCCCAGGGTCACCGGAGGGGGGTGGGGGGGGGCAGTCCTCCAGAACACACAACTCTGTAGTTTATTGTTCCGAGAGGTGCGGTAGAGGGAAAGAGGCGGAGAAAGAGTGTGGGGAGTGGTGATAAGGAATTGTCACGTCCGAGTGCAAGGATCCACGAGAGCTTATCTGGGAAAGGTTCCGGTGCGATTGTCATTGGGGGCAGATTGGCGGCGAGATGCATCACTGGTATCTTGATGGAGGAGATTACATTCCTCTGAAGATTAGCGTGGAATCTGCCCCTTTGTCTTGTCAAACTGCCTACACAGTGAACCCTGACCTGGTTTTCTTGGCAGGAAGTAATTTAGGTAAACTTTGCTTCTGTTACACACCAGGTAAAGTTGCTCTGCACTCTGAAACAATGCATGGGTGTTTCTGTGACAATTGTTCATTGTTCTTATTTGAAAATGTGCAGACAACAATTTAAAAGTTGGACATCTACTGTACATGGTGTGTGACATGGTTGACCTGTCATAGGTGAAGTCATTACTGTATGTGAGAGCAGATGGATGTGTGTCTTTTGTCTTCTTGAGCAGGTTCCATGTCATAGTTATCACCTACCCATGTCAGTAATATTTATTTTCCCAACAACTGAAGACACAGCGAGATACTGCCATGATCCAACATTAAGCAAAAGAGACCTTCTAAAAGTAAATAAGACTTTAGAAGTTTAGTATTTTCTAAACTTGATTGTCACAAGTTAGGGTTTCTATTTCTAGCAAATTAGCAAAACAATGAATATTGCTATTCTGTACTGACTTTGTAGCCAGTTTCTGCTCAGACTGTCAACTGTGAAAAAAGCTAGCTCCAGCTAGCTATTTAGAAGTGACCTTCTAAGTTAAAGATCTTTTTGAAAATAAAATTTAAGAAACACAATTTGTACCAAATAAGTAAAATGGTAAGTGATAAATTAATTGACTTTTAACCCGTTTTTTGCTCAGACTTTCAATAAACGAATGAAGCTAGTCTTAGCTAGCCATAGCTTGCTACTCACAAGGTGGCCTTTTAAAGGTAATAAGACTGCTTTGACAATCAAACCTAGGAAATAAAATGTATTCTAAATAAGCAAAACTATAAACATTGCCACTCTGTATTGACTTTATAACCAGTTCTTGGCTCAGACTGTCGATAGTTGAACAAAGCTAGCCCTTGGTAGCTACTCCGAAGCTGAAGGGTTTATGTAATCTTATGTGAACTAAAGTCAGTAAAACTATGTGTAACTGCAATACCATGCAAGTAAGTTCTTAGTTCATCTTGTGAAAAGGCTTCAGTGGACTTTAATCATGATCTTGCATAGTTCAAAATGGCGGTCTATGAAGAATGATGAGACTCCCTCGAACACATGGCATTGTTATATTATCATTAAGTATTGTAATAATTAGGCAATCCACATTTTTCTCATTACTTTCACATCCTGGTGACTAAAATCAGTCAAAACGGATTGGGAAAGGCCATCCAAGTGGTCAAGCATTCTGTTAGCATGCAGAATGCTTGCTAACAGAGATGGGTCTATTGAAGTAGCCGTGTTTAGCCTTGCATAGCAGCTTTTTGTGTTTGCACTTTGGGACACTTCTTATATGAGGTCAGTTAATGGTCAGTTAATGACCTCTTGTCTATTTAAGACTAGACAAGAGCAACAACCAGCTTAACCCTGGAGTGTTTTTAATTTGCCATTACAGATTGGAAATTATTTTAGATAATCTGCTAGCATGTTTAAATTATCCATGAGCATCTAGCAGATTATCATAGGAACGCAACCTTGAGTAAAAAACTACCAGTTTTCAAGGTGTTGCAGAAAAAATTAAAACAAAAATGAATATGACACCTGAGTACATCATAATATTAATAATATGATCTTATTCACTGCCATACACTGCAAAACCAAAATGGCATGTTGCTAAAGCTCAGTCTGTTCATTTTAGGCGATTATTGCATCATTGTACCTTTTCGGCGTTCTTAACTTTAAGTGGAATCAGTAGGACAGGGTCGTGTAGTTTATTGGTGCCAAACAGACATGCTGGTCAGAGCTTCCCAACTGTAGTTTTAAAACTACAGCTTTTATTTTGTAAGAATGTTGGATAGCAGTGTCTTAATTTCGGCTCCAGGAGTCGGTGTCCGCACGATCGAAAAGTTCCCCAAACCGATAAATTTGTCTCTCTTGTAAATGGCAGATTTCTGATGCAACCTACTTTCAGCAACAAGTGGGGGAAGGTTTCTGCTGCATTACTCTGTGTTTCAAAAAGCAAAAGTACGATGGGAAATGCTTGCCATCTTTGAGATGGGTCTGTTGAAGTAGCCATGTTTATGTATGCAGACACTGCAACACTAATGTTGTTCAGTCAAAAGCAGAAGCTTTAGCTGCTACCCAAATATATAAAGGTTATTCCAGGCATGGCACCAACATGTAGAGCTCCAACCAGATTAATGCCAAACAGTGTGAGGGGTTTAAGTTTAACTGATGAGTATTGAATACAGTAAGATGATGCTGTAAGACCATAGTTGGTTAGTCTAACTATAGCCATCTACTTGCCTCTGAAATAGATAAGCGGTGTGCTGGTTGACCTATTCAGAAAGAAATTAACGTGTTCTGGATGTGAACCTAAACCTGACTCACCTGAATAAAGTAATTAGGTAGTGGAAAACAAATAAAACGCCAGCAATTAGCCTTGGTTTTTAGCAGGCGGCAGTAAAAATCAGGTTGGACTGAAAGGAAGGATCATAAGGTTTATCACACGGGAAGTTAATTATTGTCAAATATTTACATATATTAAAATGTATCAGCTGTACGTTAGAGGATTTTACTTTGTCTTGATATAAGTAGTGATATTGGTTTCATGGACAGCGTTTGCTCTGACAAACCAAAGTTGAGCAGTTGTACCTCTGTGATCTTGGGTTGGGGTACTTTTTTATTTTTAGAAAAGTAACATTACGTTTCTGAGGTGCAGAAAAGTGCTGTGGGTGAAGGGGAGCAGACGTTGAGTGTTCGTGGTCAGACTGGCAGAATAGGACTTTGCTTCAGGGCTTCCCGTCATGACCGGCCGTCTTACTCCACAGCGGAGGGTGGCAGACGCACACGTTTCCTGAAGGTGGGAAAGGCTGAGGGAAGTTAGACCGCAAGTCACCCCTATCCAGCCTAAACCTCCGGCTGGTGTCTATGGCAGTGAGACATTGCGACATAGCATAGTTCCTCCAATGCTGGTGGAGTTATGTAACAAAAACTAGGTTAAGAAGTCTTCACTATGACTTGACTCATTCCCTCTTTCCCCACTTTCCTTTTCACATGACTCTCTTTGTTTATATAGCAACAAGTCTGTCATTCTGCGCTAGATCGTAGAGTTAAGGCTTAGTGGCATGACTTTCACGTCACAGGACTGAATGCTGAACGTGCACAACAGGAGGAGCTGGCTCCAGCCTCGGTATGCATGTGTCTTCTCTGTACTTTCTGTGAATGGGCTTTTTCCTGTGTGTGTGCGCGTGTGCGCCCGGGTGTGTGTGTTCTCTAGAACAGTCGTTCCAACGGTGTTCAAACCACACACACCTGGCCTTCTTCCTCCTTTGCTCATATATGGGCAGAGCTTCCCCTACCTGGGCCCCACACTGAATTCCAATAAGTGGCAGTCTTTTTTCTGCGTGTGTGTGCGTGTGTGTATAAACCAACACGAATGCGCGTAGTTGTGTGTGTGTGTGTGAGAGGAAAAGGTAGTGGAGACGGATGCACGTCATGGAAAACCAGGATCAATGGGCAAGGCCTGCAGAGCTGCGTTTTTAAGGTGTTCCTTTTGTTTTCCGAAGGTAATCAGTTCACACAATGACTCAGCTTGGCTGATTATTCAAAGTGGCTGGTGTAGGAAGACGTCAGAAAGGAATTGGGACTATTGCACAAGATCAGTCTGATGCTGAAGCAGATTAGCAGGTTCATTCAATCAAGTGTCTAACTCTTGGGAAGTTACCTAAGAAACTCTCCCTGCTGCCATTGTCCCGTTTCTTGACTGTTGGCGTTAAGATCTGAGATATTAGCGGTCAGGTTGTTGCTCTCAAAGCCAGAGCTCACATTATAAAACTCTAGACTCCACATTGCTGCTTGTTGGGACTAATGAAGCAGATTTATAGCCACGTGTGCCAGGGTGCAGTCCTAGTTCTCCGTAAACCCTGTGACCCAACAGAGGCAAAGTGCCTCTTTTCCCCCAACGTTGGACAAAAGGACACTTTTCATCTCTCTATCCCTTCTCAAACTGACACCCCTCCGTCCTCTTGCTGCACCTCTTTTCTTTCCTCAGCACTTCTGCCAGGCCCTCGTAAAGCAGCTCGAGGAGGGAGTTCGCTTTCCTCGCTCTTTTCGCCAGCTCTTTCCCATCAGTCCAGCCTCCTGGAAGAGCCCGCAGACATCGCTCTCCTCCTCTGGAGCTGGAGCTCTCTCTGGAGAAGGCCTTTCGCTCGCTACGCTTTAACCCTGAAGTCAGTATGATAATTGAGTGAAAGCCATCAAGCAGCAACCCAGGGGAGCCATTTAAAAGCGCCTGACATGTAAAGCCTGATGGGGCGATAAGGGACTTCCACCGGCCTTTCTGGCGGAAACGGATCAGCATTGATAAAAAGCTGTTGGTTTTCTCTCTCCGTTTGGGTTGAGAGTTTTTACTCACAATCACGTCCAACTGAGACTCTCAGTCTGGGGTCTGCTGGGGTCTGTGCACCCGATTGACTGGTTACTGCTTTATTGGCAGGAAGCACCTGGGGCTCACTGCATCTTATCACCTAGAAGAAGCATCTCTGTGGAAAAAAAAACCAGCAAAACATTTTGGTCTAGGACAATTTTGATTATTCACTTTAATACCAGTTCTGCTTCAAAAAGTGGACACACTTTGGTCTTAAAGTTGTCTCTCTTTTTTTTTTTTAAAGAAAATTGCAAGAAGACGCTAACCGCTGCCGCTGAAAGTAACAAAGTTGTCTTTCAGTGAGTGCAGAAAGGAAAGAGGAAGAGGAAGAACTCCAGTCATCCTCCAGACCTATTTTTGGATCCTTTTTCTTTATTCACAAACGTGCTCCGGCACTGTAGGTTTTTGATAGATAACGAGCGCCGAGCTGCAGCCGAAGGAAACCTTAAAGATGGAGCGCGGAGCAGGCTGAGCGCGCTCAGGACGTGGAGAGACAGGGAATGCATCCACACCCAGCTCACACACACACACACACACACACACACACACACACACACACTTGAGCAACAAACAGCACATGTACACAAACGGTTTGCAGCAGAAGTGAACTTACAGTGCACATACACACACAGACACAAACTTTTAAGAATGGTCACCTCGCTTCCCCCCGTCCCTTACATTCATGCTAAAGCATGGCAATGATTCAGTTCCTCTTTGTCCTCTCCTTGAAAGTTTGTGTGGTGTGTGTGTGCTGCATGTGCGCACACAGTTGTCACTTTGTGAATGTGTTGCTGGTGTGTGTGTGTCAATGTGGATGTGGTCAGGCCCAGTCATCTTCGAGGCAACTAAGAGGAAACCCACATCAACTGCCATGTAACCACACTCTAGGAATAGCAGTGCCCAGCTCAAGTAGGAATGGAATGACACGCCTGGCCTCGCCCCTCCTCACCCACGCTAGCAACCCCCGTAACCCCCACCACCCTTCCCACCCACACACACACCCTTCCTCAACCGGTGCAACTTTGTTTTTTTCTGAAGTTCGAGCTGCTTGACTGTTGCTGGTATCCTGAGGGGGGGGTTGGGGCGTGGGAGGCTGGGGGTTGCAGTTTCCCTTTGCGGTGTCGATGACCAGCGCGGTCGTGTTGCAACGCTGCGGTCCGGATCCTCGTCTGATTGGTCTTTGGTTGCTGCAGTTGGAAACCCTGGTTACTTTGTGCTTCCAGTTTTCCTGTTATGTCTCCAGCTCAAGCTTTGTCCTGCAAATAAAATGCTTCAGTAGAGGGTAAAAAAAAAAAAAATAAAAAATCTGATTGGCGTACGCTAGAGATAGAACTTAGGATTTTAGACGATACAAGACGATAAGGCAATATGTTTGCAATATTTTTGAGGAAAGTAAAAATAAAAGGGCACAAATTGCAAACCTTTGAAGGAATCTTGTGACCGTCCTCATCTCAGTCACACCAGTCCTTCTATTGCTGGTTTCATGCATGGCTAACAGCAACGGCTTCATATCAGGAGCTTTAGCAGCTAACAGCTAAGACGAACTGCGTTCATTTCAAAATGCTTACAAAGTATTTGGGTGAAGTCGATTTCTTTTTTTCATAAGTACCAGACATGCTGCCTGAAGTTGGATTTAAAAGCAGTGAATGCCTCTCAATCGGATTCAAAAATACGCATTTCCTTCAAAGCGTTGTCAGAGAAGTTGATGCCAGTGGGCAGGCCGGACTTCCTGTAGTTGTTCTGGAAATGCTCCTGTTGTACAGCAGTCTGATGAAGAAGACGCTGCTGACGCCGGTTTTCTGTAATTTTTTAGTTTTATGAAGAATCTCCTTCAGTGCTTTAGTAATAGTCTTGTCAGCAAGTGTGATAAAAACATTTCATCAGTCATGTACAGCAGGGTTAACCCAGGAGCTACTTCCGTTTTGGCTTCAAAATAAGAGTCTCAAACATTGACACAACAGCGCCTAGAACTTGTACCATTCACACTGGACAACATTTAAATATGCCAACTTCAAAATATAGAATATCACAATATGTAAAACCTGCATAAACGCCTTTTGAGATGTATAATGTTACATATTTTGACTGGTCTGTTCTAAACTGATCTATTAAACACTTTATGATTTGTAAAAGCTTTACAATAAAAAACAAAGACAATTAGTTTAGCCCGGAATACTGCTAAATTTCTGTGGAGTGTTGATGGCCTCAGCATTGAGGACCGTTTTGCCTCCTGGATGTTCTGGTGGTCCACCTCTGGTTTGCACTGTGGACCTCTCTGCTTTGTGGCGGCTGCAGCATCACCAAAGAGTGGAAAAAAGACGTAGATAAGACTATATGACCTTATCTGCAGTCCTGGGAACTTACACATGCTCACTGGTTTGGAGCTGCTACTTCAAACCTGAATGCAGCTGTCTTTATGGGTTTGTTCTTTTACAGTGTATGTACTGTAACCTCATGTCTGAGTGGAGTCTAAAGTCTTTCTTTTCTGTTTTACAGGGAGGCCACTTCTGCAACGACTTTTCCGAAAATATAACCGAACATCCATGTGACCCACAGCAGTTTCCAAAAAAGGTACCTTTTTTTTTTTTTTTTTTTTTTTTTACTTCACCACTTTCTTCCCCCACACTTCCCTTCCCACCATCTTTTTTTTTTTCTAAAGAAAAACTGCGTTCCCTCCAGCAAAGAACAGAGCCCCAGGCCACATCCTTTTACACCTCTTCAAATCCCTCGGTACAAAGCCTCAGTGGGTGAACTCGCATTTTATCACAGATATGTCAATTGCTGGGGAAAGACAAATGATGCAACCTCAAACCTGAGCGTGAGACATCTCTGCTGCCGGCGTAGAAACGTGGAGAGACGCGGCGTGAATGGTGACGGGAGAGGCTGGAATGTGGGCCGTGGGGGAAAGGCGAAGGGAAGGCAGCACAGTTCTGTTAATTAAAAGAAATTGGAGTCAAGTGACCATCAGCTGGTGGAGGATTGTTTGATTGGTGGGGTCATGGGGCTTCAGGTATGCAGAGAGGCTGAGACGGCCAGGATGCCTCCTCAGTCTCCGCTCCCTTTGCGACACCGATTGACTCTTTGCAGCAACGTCACTTAAACACGTTGAGGCGCCATGACGGACGCCGTCTACCCAAGTGGTTTCTGCCAGTATAGCCATGGCTTGTACTTGTTTAGCTAATCTTTTGTGGAAGTGGCTCACAACAGTTGGAAATAGCTGGCTTAGAAACTGACCCATATCACTATGTCATAAACTGCGTTTCCTTTTACACCAGAACATGCTAGGCTGCATAATGCTGGGACATTTTCTATGTGATTACTAATGATTCGACTCCTACATTCTCCATAGTGCAATATTTGATTGTATCTTGCTAGTCTTACTTATGAAGTACATGAACGTTAATCTTCTTACCTGGTATAAAGCGTCGACTGCAAGTCCACAAATATGCCATGGGCTGCTAGTCCATTGGATTGACAGCAGCTGCCCGTCCATCATGACTTCTTTCCTCATTAAAAGTTATGCAACAAAATGACAAGTTTGGTTTGCATCATTATCTGTTTGCAGCAGACCACATAGCATCCTAGCCGGCGAAGTTCTGAAGAGTGGGTTTATCGTATCGTTTATCGTTTATCGGGATAAATTTCATGTCTTGATAAGATTTTGATTTGTCGTTGTCACAATAAATTACGATTAATGATGTTTGAAAACCCCTTTGTTATTATAACCAGTACATTTTCTACATACATGACTGGTGTCCTTCAGAAGCGTTTTACAAATAGGTATGTTTTTCAAGAGCAGCTATACGGTTCTTACGGTCACTTTTATTGTTAACACAATTTTACCACAAAGCGTCATGATAAAGCTTTAAGTCCATATGAGCAAGCCGTGGCGTGACGTCGTGTGCAGAGGGTCAGTGTTATAGGGACGGAGTTGGTGTTCCCGTTACGTGTCAGGGCCGGGGCTGGAGCCGACACGGTGCGGCCTCCGCCTGCCGTGCCTCAGGGCTAATGGGAAAGAATGACAGGAATCTGCCACTGATAATGCCAAGCTTGGAGATGTTCGTCAGCAGATAATCTCCCATATCCTTCCCCTCCCTCAGGCTGCTCTTCTTCTTTCTGCTTGATCTGCTTGTCCCCTTCTCCCACCCTGCAACCCCCGCCTCTTCATCAATGACTCTCATCTTTGTTGCCCAGAATATTTTGATAGTTTTTCTTTTTTGTTTTTTTTGTTTTTTTGGGTGGGAGTTAATAACGGAAGTGTTCGCTCTGTCCTCAGATGGCGTCCGCAGAAGTGTGCCGACTCCCGTCTGCTGCTTCTCGGCTCTCTGGTGACTGTCAGCTGCTCAGTAGGCAGTGTAGATCCTGTGTAGCAATCAGCAGCTACATCTGGCTACTGGGTCTCTGACGGCTCCGCCCACTTCCCGGTCCAAAGTTCTTCCTCTGTCGGCCCGTGGCGCGTTCCCACTCCACCACCGGCTGTGATTTTGGGGGGCCCGTTCAGTGACGGGATGCTGTCGGTGTCACAACTCCACCAGGGCCCATCATCACATTTGTTCTTCTTCCTGTTTTGTCAATGTCATTTGGCATCTCTGAGTTTCTGACTTCTGATTGAATTCCGTCTACTTTGATTAAGCTACAAATGGGCACATTTCATAAAAATGGTGTTGGCGGATGCCCAAGAAGCCACACTAGGGAGATATTTGCTTTGTCCTGAACCTGGCATACAATGTAGATTCCTGTGTGGTTCAATTCTACAGCTACATTGTCTGCTGGGTTTCTGGCTAGCAATATAAGCTTCTGTGACATGAAGGTCACCTTTGCTCCATAAGGTAAGAATCTATCTTCTGTGCTGCCAAAAAGTATTTGGCCCTGTTAAGATTTATTCTGCTTTTGTTGTTTTGTGACATTTAAGTGTTTCAGATTGTCCAACAAATGTTAAAGTGGCAGTGTTATGCGTTTTCCAGGCATATAATGGCAAAGCAACTATGTTACCTTTAGTTGTTATAAAAATGCTGCATATATCAAATATGACTTAAAAGAAATTTGACTTCGCAGTTGAACACTTTAAAATTGGGCCTGTGTCTCTTTAAGAAGCCCCTACTCGTTCTGATCCTCCACCTTCAGGAAGTCATCACAACATGGCTCCTATATTAACCCTTTAACAACATTTTTAAAAGTGTTGCACTGAGAAGTAACTTGTAATAAGCTTAGTAGATGTGCAGCTCCACCAGGTGTTTGCTAACTGCTGCTGCTGCTAGTCTGAAGGAGCCGTCGAAGGCGGCAGTTCCACAAACCCGGAAAGAAAAATCTGTCTAGACCTCGACAAACTGAGCTGAGTGGTTAAGGGTTCCAGCAACAACAAACTTTGACTAACTGGAAGACAAATGCTTCTCAAATATTCTGTGGCCTGATGAGACAAGAGTCACATCTTTTTCAATGCGTGTCCTTCGCCTAGCTTACAGCGATCTATCATGGCATTTCAGAAAAACCACACAATGCCTGCAGTCAGACATGTGATGGTCACAGGAAGCCCATCAGGACGTCCAGCCGTAAATGGCTAAAAAATAAAACCAGAGAAAACGAAGGGTTTGGATTGGACTAGTCAAAGTCTCATGCTGTTTGTTCTTTAACCCAACACCTCAATTTAAAATACTGATTGCCAGTTATGATAAGTATTATGGGGTAATTATTTTCCATAACCGTTTTCCCTTAACAGACGAAATCATCATCTGAAAACTGCACTTTGTTTTTACTCGGGTTGTTTTGGTCTGATAATCAAATCTGTTTTTCTTACCTGAAACATTTAAGTGCATTAAAAAAAAAGCAGCATAAACAGAAGATGTTTTCATTGCACTGCATCCTATCACTGAAATATGTCTGACCCTGACGATTCCAATAAAGAGAAAATATTTCAAATTAAACTCGCAGAATGACTCGTGGTGTTCTTTGTGCGACTATTCATTTGAGGAGCAGGAGAGAAATCTCCGAATGTGCAGAATCTAAACGGATTCACCGTTGCCTCTGTGTGTCCCTGGAGTTGGCCCTGAGCAAGAGAAGCCAGAAATATTCCAGTAAGTCAGCACAAAGCTGGCTTGTTGTCTGTCAGAGTGTCATCAAGACTGCTGTCAGACTGGCTCCTTATTAGCGGGACAGCACTGTCTTCTCCACAGCCAACACACACACACGCACACACACACACCTGGAGAGCAAAGCTTCACATAATGCCTCCAGAAGACACTCTGCATCCCTACCTGCATTTACAGCTCTGAAGGTCACACACTAACAAATCATATACAGCACAAAACCTCCCTCCACATCCACTGGTTTGCAATGACATGGTGTGTGTTTGAGTCTGATGTGTGTGTTCTTACCCACACGAAGAACACTGAAGCTGAGGAGCACAAGACATGGGAGGAGATGCAGGATTGTCCTCTGTGTGCCGGCGACCTGGGAATGAGGAAGCATATAAAAGCCATTCATCAGATTTAACATCCAACCAATCAGATGCACGATTGACTCTGGGGTTTTTAATGGAAGTAGCAACGATGGTGTAATTAGAAAACTCTCCTGGTTTGTTCAAAACAATCGGATGTTGTGGATTTTATTATTTTTTTTCACACAAGTTTGAAAAAGTGTTTCAAATGAAAAATGATCTCATTGCATATTAAACCTAAATATAAACAGATAAAAAATCATTTTATCTGAGCCTCTGGACTGAAGCGTGTCCAAAATTAAACCATAAAATTAATGAAAGTAAAAAGGCAAATAGTTATAGTTTTACCTGCTCGACAATAAACCATTTCATGATATTAAATTTGTTTATTGTGAAAGATCCAAAAAAATAAAAATAGGCTTCAGACTGTTGCTATTAAAAGAAAAGCAATTTCCACAGTTTTGGGGAGTCATGGATTGTTTTCTGGATTTTTTTTGTTGTTTTTAACCATTCTTGATTTGTTGTCTGGGGCCAAACAAAATCCTTTCAAGGGCCACAAATGGCTCCCAGACCACACTTTGGACAATCCTGTTCTAGAAGGCCACATAAATAAAACCTCCACAAGGTCCAAGCTGTGTGCATAAATATTTTATCAATCAAATGGAAAAAGATTTTATCTGCATACTGAGAAATTCCATTAACGACAAAAGATCTTCAATATCATTTAACTTGAAGAAGTATTCGTCAAACCCGGAGATTCGTTTCTATTCTAAGTTCATTAATAAGAAGTTTTATCAACACATTCTGCCACAGTCTGACCTTTGATTTATGATCTTGATGTGATCCGCTCCTGGTCACGAGTGTAACTTAACTTAAAAACACCAACATCGTCAGCTACTCACAAGTGATCCATTTCCAATGCAGCTTGTAATTTTGTCTTTGCCACCATAAAAATTTCTGTTGACATGGCTCACCGGATCGGCCAACAGTCGGAACAACAAGGAAGTTTTTGAAGACCTCAGAAGAACAGATAAATCCTTTGGAAACGTTTTTAAACACCTTCAAAATCATCAGTTCAAACAATTGTACATGAGGTCAAAGTGTCAATGAGTCACCAGCACCCCATAATTCAAATTTAAGTTATGAAAGATGAAAATTACATTTATTAAGATGTTCAGGGACCAACAAGGTTAGACTTACCATGAATTGGTTTATAGTTTTGTATTGGTGTAACATCTAGAGTACCAAGAGAAAACCCTCCCAAAAGCAGCACTCGACTCAGAGTTTCAGCTGCCCACATCGATAAGCTAAATCTATAGTGGAGAAAAGGTTGAGTTGGCCTATTTTGCTGTTTCACCACTACTGGAAGTGCTTTGGATTTAGCCTTCCAAAAACCTAAACCAGGGCAGGAAGACAATCAGTTTCAATGTTAATATTGAGATTAAGGAGTGGTCAGATATTCGCCCCAAATTATGCCAACAGTGTAGAAGTGTGCGATCAAGGTGCCTCCTTGCTCAAAGTCTGTAAGGATAATAAATAATGGCCAATAATGGCTGATGTTCCATCAGGACATAGATTTATACCAAGTGGTTCCAATGAGCAGCACCACCAATAGGCAATGAAGCCAACACAGCTGTGGGAGATGTGTTGGTTGCCATAGACGACCCTCCACTGTGGCTTTAAGTAACTTTGGCCAAAAACATTAAAAATTGAGAAATGCTTTAAAATTTAACTGTAAATTGAAAATGCTAGCATTAGGCATTTTCATGCGATGTATGTTTAGGGAACATATATAAACACCTGCTGCACATCTGGGCTGTGCCATCAAAGTTTGACTGCCCCCTACAGGCCTGACATGTGCACCACATTGTTTCCAATTCGATTTCCATTTTAAACTACATGGGGAGTGTTTCTATTGCTCTGTTGAATAAATGCATTTTGTTCCCCAGTCATGCAACAGACAACATTTTGTAAGGAATTGTTGTTTTTATGTATGGAAGCTGAGAGCGGACATTTTATGCACACCGTTGGAGTTCTTGAGATGATGAGATCCTTTCCCAATAGTTTTCGCAAGAGTTAATGCACCATTTTTTTTTTCTCGAGATAAGTTAATGTCACGATTGTTTTCTTGAGGTTAGTTAATTTTCTGTTTTCCGCATATACATTTTTCTGTTTTTTTTCTCAAGATAACGAGTTAATGTCCTGATTGTTTCATTGATTTGAGTTTCTCTCTTGATTTTTTTTCTTGAGGTAACAAGTTAATTTTACGATTTTTTTTTCTCTGTCAAGATATCCATGTAATTTCGTGGGTATTTTTGCATATTCTTTTTCCCAAAAGTTTTCTCGAGATAAATTAATCTTGAGGAAAAACTGCATGCAAGATTAACTTATCTTGAGAAAACCATCAGGGGAAAAAGTATATGAAGGAAACGTCCACTATTGGCTTCAGTGTCTATGTTGTATTTTTTTTGTCACTGAATAAATATACAATTAAAAGTGGATCTTTCAAAGATCTTAACTTTGAGACTATGTCACTGCAATATCAGCTGCTTATATTTTAAGTGATTTTAAACATCTTCGCCAGTAGAACAGCGTATCTTTATGGCTACAGGACGGATTCCTGTAACCATGATGTTACATCGTTACATTACTATTAACTACATTTATTATGTACTATAACTGTATATTTACTTGATCATTTCTGAGCTCAAATGTGAGAATAAAACACATAGAGCTCTGAAAAGTCGATCATTCTGAAAGCGCAATAGTTGATGTGAATAAACAGCGTGTAAACAGGAACCCTTCAGTCTGACGGTGTGCACACAGATTTGCGTGTATTGAATCAAGATGGAAAAGGTGAAGCAATCCTTCATGTCTGAGGCTTTGAATGGCAATGCTTGGTTAAAAAACAAAACACCCTGAACAAATGACACATGACGTGAGCGGTGCTGCTTTCATGTGTTTACTCGTGTGTAAAAAGGCTTGCATGAAAAGCTTTCTGAGTAAGCAAAGGACTTGGCGTAGTTTCAATGGCGTATTGAAAGCACCCTGCCTATTATAAAGTAAAAAAAGCACAAGTGAATCCTTTCTATCTGCTGCAGCTTGATGAAACAAACGCACGGGTTGCTGCAGATGGCCTCATAAATACGGCTTTACAGGAACAAGAATCGGTGGAATTATAATGGATGTGCATTTATCGAGGCTCGTTTTGATCGCAAATTCAGGTCCTGTCCGCGTCCCCGGTACGCGAGCCCCTCGGGTTCATCTTCGCCGACCGTGTTTTTGCGACAATAGCGCACGCCGATCCATCGCTCGGCGAGAATCCCAACAATGCAAATGGCTGCTAATGGGCTGTAATGGGAGGGCCTGCGTGGGCGGTTTATTGTTGCTTTGATAAGCCGTTTATGACGTGCGTGCACAGTCAGAACGCAAAAAAAAAAAAAACAGCACAGCGCTCGGAGAAAGAGTGATGGTGGCAGGAAACGGTGAAAAACGGCCAAATGAAAGGCAGATGGGGCCCATCTGTCTTCCTCTAATCGCACACGAAAACACTCCCAAGGAGGGCAGGGCACGAGGTGAAGGTGCAGTCATTTGAAGGTGGCATCAGTGATGTCATCTCCGTTGCCTCACCCATGAGTGAAAAACACAAAACACACACACACACACGCAGTCCCTGTCTTGTTTGCGTCACGGCTGTAATAACTCATTGGAGTGTCACATAATGACCTCTACAAGTAGGACTTTCCCCATCAGGCAAGCCTTCACTAGCAGAGGGAAAGAAAAAAAAAAGCGCGGCCTGGTGGGATTTATATGGTGTCATTCACTCAGGTCACAGGGGTTGAACATACACACAGTGTCAGTTTCTGCTTTCATGAGATAAAACTGAAATGTCCCATCAGCACCCGGCGTTTCAGACGCTCCAACAATAGTTTGTCGGGGGGTTTTTTTGGTTTTTTTTTCAGAGTTCCAATTTTATCTCCACCAATAAACAGAACCAACCGTCTGTGGACCTAAACGGGCTTCTTAAGGTCCGATAACAAATGGCGGATCGCCGTTAAATATCTCAGATTATCAGAAGTAAAGAACACTAAAGATGTAAACTGTGTGGCTTTAGTACGGTTTGTTCAAACAACTATATGGAAAATACGGCGGAGTGTCAGGGTCACGCTAAGAAAATAAAGAATAAAATTACGAGAGGAATAATAATAGGTCATAATGTTACGACTTTATTCTGGTAATATTACTTTATTCTCATATCATTTAAACTTTGTTCTAGTATTTCAACTTTATTCTCATCTGACTTTGTTCTCGTGAAACTACGACTTCATTCCTGTACTTTTATTACTGTATTCTCCTCATTTTATAACTTTTTTCTTTCATATGGGCCTCATACGCCATCATATGAAAAGCCATTAAACATAAAGATAATTTCTATTGTTTGTTCATTCGCTCCATTCTTCCTCAATATTTCACCCAACTTTTATCTTTTTACAGGATTATACCATTTTATTATCATCACTAACTAGCTTATTCTCCTTAAAAGCTAAATATGTTTGATAAATTAGGAGAAATGTTTGCAGATCTTTACACTGAACCTTAATCTCTACGTTGTCTTTGTCCCTTATGTGGGCCAGTCGACTCACATACAGCAGACTGTCAGTGAAATCTAGAGAAATGTTTCATGTAAATGGGAAGAGGTGCATTTCCTTTACAGAAACTGTGTGAAAATTACAAAGAAAACAGCAAAATAGCAAAATTTACCCCTAATTTCAATCAAAAAAGTTGAGAGTTTCTGCATAGCGAACATCTGGGAAAATGACAGATCAACTGCAACCCATCAGTGTGGGAGGAGCGGCTGAAACAAGCGATGACAAGCATTACAATAGTCTGCCGAACTTCACTGGTCCATATTCACGCCTGGTGTTTCTTTCTTATAATTGATTTTAAATGTGTTCACCGCTCATAAAGGCAACAATTTCTTGCTATTGTCTTAAAAATGTGACATACCTGACAG